TTCTTTTTTTTTTTTTTTTTTTTTATTCATGAGAGAGAGAGAGACTGAGAGGCAGAGACCCAGGCAGAGGGAGAAGCAGGATCCATTCAGGGAGCCCAACACAGGACTCGATCCTGGGTCCTCAGAATCAGGCCCTGGGCTGAAGGCAGTGCTAAACCGCCAAGCCACCCAGGCTGCCCCAACTCATAGATTCTTAACAACTGGAAGGGGCCAGAGAGCTTGGTCTTGTCTAGGTGTCTTATCTCTAGCTGGTCCAGAGAGGTGAAGCAGATTGCCCAAAGTCACACTGCTAATTGGTAATAGAGCCAAAACTAGAACAAATCTCTCTCTCTCTCTCTCTCTCTCTCTCTCTCTCTCTTTCTCTGTCTCTCTCTCTCTCAGGAGATTATTTATTTGAGAGAGTGCAAGCAGGTGGAGGGGTATAGGGAGAGGGAGAGAATCTCAAGTAGACTCCCCACTATGTGCAGGGCCTGACCCAGGGCTTGATCTCATGATCCTGAGGTCATGACTTGAGCTGAAGTCAAGAGTCAAAGGCCTAGCTGACTGAGCCACCCAGGTGCCCCAAGAGCACACATCTCTTAACTCTCATCCTATAGAACACACAAGTTCCCTCCTAACTCCAGAAAGGAAAAGTACTAGAACAAAAGTAGAAACGTATGTTTTCCTCTTAGTTGGAAATTTAAATATAATATTAGTATATCGTAGGAGTTAAGTGCAAACTACCAAACTTTGACCTTGGGTGTATTTACTCTGTGAACAAGTTATTTAAACCTTCTCTTCTACTATATCCTATCATTTTTCTGTACATTTGTATATTTCATATATATATTTAAATCTGTACATTTGGCTTATTAATAGTGAGAGAAGTTGCATGTGTGCATCTTACATACACAAATGGAATGATACTAGTTCTATTAGTTCCTTTTGCTTTAATAGTATCTTAAGGGACCTTTCCGTATTAGTGCACATAATTCCGTCATGTTCTTTCTTTTTTTTTCAATAAATTTATTTTTTATTGTTCAATTTACCAGCATACAGAATAACACCCAGTGCTCGTCCCATCAATGCCCCCCTCAGTGCCCGTCACCCATTCACCCCCACCCCCCGCCCTCCTCCCCTTCCACCACCCCTAGTTCGTTTCCCAGAGTTAGGAGTCTTTATGTTCTGTCTCCCTTTCTGATATTTCCCACACTTCTCTCCCTTATATTCCCTTTCACTATTATTTATATTCCCCAAATGAATGAGAACATATAATGTTTGTCCTTCTCCGATTGACTTACTTCACTCAGGATAATACCCTCCAGTTCCATCCACGTTGAAGCAAATGGTGGGTATTTGTCATCTCTAATGGATGAGGAATATTCCATTGTATACATAACCCACATCTTCTTTATCCATTCATCTTTCGATGGACACCGAGGCTCCTTCCACAGCTTGGCTATTGTGGACATTGCTGCTAGAAACATCGGGGTGCAGGTGTCCCGGCGTTTCATTGCATCTGAATCACTGGGGTAAATCCCCAACAGTGCAATTGCTGGGTCGTAGGGCAGGTCTATTTTTAACTCTTTGAGGAACCTCCACACAGTTTTCCAGAGTGGCTGCACCAGTTCACACTCCCACCAACAGTATAAAAGGGTTCCCTTTTCTCCGCATCCTCTCCAACATTTGTGGTTTCCTGCCTTGTTGATTTTCCCCATTCTCACTGGTGTGAGGTGGTATCTCATTGTGGTTTTGATTTGTATTTCCCTGATGGCAAGTGATGCAGAGTATTTTCTCATGTGCATGTTGGCCATGTCTATGTCTTCCTCTGTGAGATTTCTCTTCATGTCTTTTGCCCATTTCATGATTGGATTGTTTGTTTCTTTGGTGCTGAGTTCAATAAGTTCTTTATAGATCTTGGAAACTAGCCCTTTATCTGATACGTCATTTGCAAATATCTTCTCCCATTCTGTAGGTTGTCTTTTAGTTTTGTGGACTGTATCCTTTGCTGTGCAAAAGCTTCTTATCTTGATGAAGTCCCAATAGTTCATTTTTGCTTTTGTTTCTTTTGCCTTCGTGGATGTATCTTGCAAGAACTTACTGTGGCTGAGTTCAAAAAGGGTGTTGCCTGTGTTCTCCTCTAGGATTTTGATGGAATCTTGTCTCACATTTAGATCTTTCATCCATTTTGAGTTTATCTTTGTGTATGGTGTAAGAGAGTGGTCTAGTTTCATTCTTCTGCATGTGGATGTCCAATTTTCCCAGCACCATTTACTGAAGAGACTGTCTTTCTTCCAATGGATAGTCTTTCCTCCTTTATCGAATATTAGTTGACCATAAAGTTCAGGATCCACTTCTGGGTTCTCTATTCTGTTCCATTGATCTATGTGTCTGTTTTTGTGCCAGTACCACACTGTCTTGATGACCACAGCTTTGTAGTACAACCTGAAATCTGGCATTGTGATGCCCCCAGATATGGTTTTCTTTTTTAAAATTCTCCTGGCTATTCGGGGTCTTTTCTGATTCCACACAAATCTTAAAATAATTTGTTCTAACTCTCTGAAGAAAGTCCATGGTATTTTGATAGGGATTGCATTAAACGTGTAAATTGCCCTGGGTAACATTGACATTTTCACAATATTAATTCTGCCAATCCATGAGCATGGAATATTTTTCCATCTCTTTGTGTCTTCCTCAATTTCTTTCAGAAGTGTTCTATAGTTTTTAGGGTATAGATCCTTTCCCTCTTTGGTTAGGTTTATTCCTAGGTATCTTATGCTTTTGGGTGCAATTGTAAATGGGATTGACTCCTTAATTTCTCTTTCTTCAGTCTTATTGTTAGTGTATAGAAATGCCACTGATTTCTGGGCATTGATTTTGTATCCTGCCACGCTACCAAATTGCTGTATGAGTTCTAGCAATCTTGGGGTGGAGGCTTTTGGGTTTTCTATGTAGAGTATCATGTCATCGGCGAAGAGGGAGAGTTTGACTTCTTCTTTGCCAATTTGAATGCCTCCGTCATGTTCTTTTTAATGACTGCAAGGTATTCCATAATATATATGTTTATGTAATCACCTCCATATTAATTAATTTTTTCTAATCTTTCACTACTACAGTTCTACAGTAAAAGCTTCATGCAGATATCCTTGTGGCCATATATGTGGCTACCTCTTTAGGATTGATATTCAGAAATGCAAATAGTAGGTCTAAGAGTAGGCACAAAGGCTCCTCTTTTCTATTCTGAAAATAGGCTACAGCTGAGTTACTTAGTTTCTGCAATATGTGTTAATGTTAACCGGGCAGGGGGTGAGTCTTTTGACTGCCCATAGTATACTAGGAACTGGGAGCATTATAGAAAAATTACTCCTTCATCTTTATCTCATATTGTATGGAAAATGCATTGTGTTCCTAACATCGAGGGAAAACAAAACAAACTGCCTCCTCCTCTCTGCTCCAAAGTGACTGAGATTTGTGAAATTAAGTGCTCCAAGCAACATCTGCTTGATTCTATGATGGCATTTGGGCATTTACCACACAGTACTGTAATTGTTGGTACTTACCTGTTTGTAACCACCTCCTAAACTTGGGCTTCTTAGGGGGTAAAGATTATGTTTATGTTTTTTATCCCTAGGTAACATTAGCATGATAACTAGCACATAATTTTGTTTTGTTGAATAAATTAATGAATTCCATTCAACCGTAGCATTTGTTGTGTACCTGGCACATACAAAGGTTACTAAGAACTGATGGAACCGCAGATCTGCCCTCAAGGAGTTTATAGTCTGAATATATATGAATATGAATGAGAGAGGCTGTAAACATGTAGGAATCAAGGCATTAGTGACACTTGTGATTTAAGCCAAAGTGACTTAAGTTCAAAGAACTGTGAGACTTTCCAGGAGGACTAATTAAGGCCAATTGAAGGTTTTGTAAAGCTGAGCCTGATAGGACAAGTTGGTAGTGTTTTTTATGATTTGTCATGTTAATGATTAAGAATAGGTGACTTTAAGCAATGCTTCAAGAACCATTTTGTTACGATCCTGTAGCTTTAGGACTACAAGAAGGCTAAAGGTGGAGTGTTATAGTTGGGTTCTGGAACTAGAACCTCAGAAACTAGATCAAGACCAAACAGCTTTAGCTCCTGGCATTCCTGCGGAGGAAGAAGTTGTTTCCGTATGTAAAATGACAATTCTGAATGTCTCAGTGTGCTATTTCTCCTTTCTTCAAATAAAACAAAAACTTCTCTTGACTCCTCCTTCCTTGACCAGATACCACTCCATTTCCTTGATATGCTTTGCTGAAAAACTCATTAAGTAATCTTTCTGTCTGCAATTCTTCCATTCTCTTAGAGCCACTTCTGTTGTGCTCTCACCCCTACCAGGCCATCGAAACCATTCTCATCAAGGTCAACAGTGACCTCATTGTCACTCAGTCTAATGGGCAATTATTAGTCTTCTTCCTACATGACATTGAATATTCTACCAGAGCATGACTTCTAATGGTTATGCAAGTACTTTGAAAAGTATAAAACAAGGCAGCCTGGGTGGCTCAGCAGTTTAGTGCCGCCTTCAGCCCAGGGCCTGATCCTGGAGTTCCAGGATCGAGTCCCATGTCGGGCTCCCTGCATGAAGCCTGCTTCTGCCTCTGCCTGTGTCTCTGCTTCCTCTCTGTCTGTCTCCCATGAATAAATAAATAAATATAAAATCTTTTAAAAAAAAAGTATAAAACACCATACAATATACCATGATAGTATCCTTATCCCTTCTTTAAGAACTTGAAATTTTATTTTTATTTTTTATTTATTTTTTTTAAAGATTTTATTTATTTATTCATAGAGACAGAAAGAGAGAGGCAGAGACACAGGCAGAGGAGAAGCAGGCTCCGTGCAGAGAGCCTGACGTGGCACTCGATCCCGGGTCTCCAGGATCACGCCCTGGGCTGCAGGCAGCGCTAAACCGCTGCGCCACCTGGGCTACCCGAAATTTTATTTTTAAAGATTTATATCTCTTTTTTTTCCACAGGGGACATGGTCTCAAAATACAGAGAACCTTTGATCCACACCTTCCTGAGGGGAGCAAGAGATCCAGATAGTGCTCACAGGGCCAGCAGCTTATCGAACCTTGGAGAACTATGCCAGAGGCTGGACTTCCTGCTGGGCTCTGTGATTCATGAGGTACTACATGTTGATTCTTCTTTCTAAAGCTTGTTTTTCCTTGGCACTATGATATAGCTGGGGATTGGGAGTCAGATCTGTGATTTTTTTCCAGATCAGATACATTATTGAACCTCCCTTGGCCTCACTAGTCTTGTATATATACCGGAAGTTATATTCATAAGAACTTTTTTTATTGCAAGTGATAGGAAGTCACCTTAATTTACCTTATGCATTAAAAGAGGATTTATTATAAAGATTCCAAGATAGCTAACAGAGTTGAAGACACCTTGAGCAAGAGCAGATGGGACCTTACCCTGGGCCTGTGGGCCATCTGTGAGTTTCATCTCTGTTCACAGGAAAATCTCAGGCAAATATTCTCAATGGCCCATTTTGATCAGAGGTGCCCTGTAATTCAGGGGGATGAAACTATTTACCTGAAAAGACTAATTAAGTGCCATGTTTTGTTCACCACTTTACACCCAGTACCTGGTACATAGTAGGTAAAGCAGCCAAAATGATAGCCACTGGACACTCATGGTTTTAGAGTTTCTGAGTTGATAAAATGTGCATCTTGCTGTTGTCCTCTATGAACACCTCCCTTTAGCCTCTTGAATTTTATCTTTGCACTTGTGTTTCTTTAGTCATCAATACATTAACATATATCTTAATTACCTACTATGTGCTAGGCACTCTACTATTTAAAGATTATACTGGACAGAAAAAGACTAGTTTTTGTTTTTTTAATTTTTTGAGAGAGACCACAAGCAGGGAGGAGGGAGGAGGAGCAGAGAGAGAAGGAGAAGCAGACTCTCCTCTGAGCAGGGAGCCTAACGTGGGGCTCAATCCCAGTACCCCAGGATCATGACCTGAGCCAAAGTCAGCCACTTAACCGACTGAGCCACCCAAGCATGAGAGAAAAAGATTTGTCAATATGTGATCAGGAGTCTTTATTACTGGTGACTTGGCTGTCCTAAATCTTTATTTGGAAGAAGACGGCTTGCAAATTATAAATATATAAATAAACCATAGTTTATATATATATATATATATATATTATTTGTGAGAGATCAGATTTCTCTTAGAGGACAAGAACTTACAAAACTGTAATAATTCTGGTTTCCTTTACAGTATTCAGTATGCTAAAGCTGACCATATTGAATAGAAAATATTAAAAAGTTCCTGGAGAGAAGGAATTTTCTTTGATGTCTGGTGATTGTGTCTTATGAATAAGCAGAGAAATACACTCATGGATATATGCATATACTTGAATTTATGGCATTTCCTGATTCCTGAACTTTATAGGCTTTGTTTTATTGATAATAAAGGCTACTCATGTCCTTAAATTCCAACTTTGGATTTTTAAGAAATTTATCCGTCAGTCATTTCCTCTCCTTTAACTCTTCCATGAAGGGCACACCCCAATGCCAACTTTTTGTATCTTTTTTTTCCTTAAGTTTTTATTTCAATTCCAGTTAGTTAACATACAGTGTAATATTAGTTTCAGGTGTAGAATTTAGTGATTCAGCACTCAGACACAATACCTGGTGTTCATCACAAGTATCCTCCTTAATCCCCATCACCTACTTATGTATCTTTTTTTAAAATTTATGTATCTTTTTTAAATAACTTAGAAATAATAATTATTATAACTTCAAACCTTAGAGTGCTCTAATATAAGTGAACTGTTAGGTACCTGACCTTTGGTGGTCTTGGATAGCACTTAGCAAATCCCTTGTCCTTTAGTATGTGAACTCATAACACTTAAGAGAAGGTATTTGCAGGTCTATTTCATTTATTGTCTAAAGATTTCAGCTTATGATAACTTTTCTGGGTCAAATATTGAAGTGGTTCCTACATTCTTTTCTCTGTTTACTTGGTCTTTTCACATGACTCAATCTAACCTGTGATCTGAACCAAACCAAAATATTGTTGTATTTTGTCTTTTTAGAGCAAGTGTAGGGGTGGGAGGACGGGCAGAAGGAGAAGAAGAAAGAGAATCTTAAGCAGGCTCCATGCCCACCAAGGAGCCTGACACGTGACTCAATCTCACCACCCTAAGATCATGACCTGAGCTGAAATCAAGAGTCAAATGCTTAACCAACTCAGCCAGCCAGGTGCCCCTAAATATTATAATTTTTAATAACAGCTTTATTGAGATGGAAGTCACATACCATACAAGTCTCATACAAGTCTCCTATTTAAAGGGTACAAATTAACAGCTTTTAGTTTATTCACTGAGTTGTACAAGCATCACAACTTTTTTTTTTTTTTTTTTTTTTTTGCATCACAACATTTTTAAAGCATAGCTGTAATAGAATAAAAACTCATCCCAGATCTCCAGGTGAATCACCTCAGGTTTGACAGGATTCCATACATTTTCTAAAACCAGTGACTCCAAACAATACCTGAACCTCATGATCTTCTATGAACCAAAAAACAGCCCTAGACTCTTCTTCCCTTTTTCTCTCTTAAGGAAACTGTAGCATCCTGGTGGTGTATGATTTCCTATCAGGGCATTAGAGAAATTTCTTGGCTTGATAGATTAGAAAAATTGAGCTAAAGCAGGTTTTATAACATCCAAGAAGTGTCCTCTCTCTGGAGACTCACCTTACCTGTGGAAAGAGAATGAAATTTCCCAGTGCACTGGGGGATGGGAATTAGTGAGGACCTATCTCCACCACCTAGTTACCTATGTTCACTTGAACACACAACTTAGGCTCTGAACTCCGGTTTCTGACTTACAAAATGGGATTAAAGGGGTGTCTGGTTGGCTCAGCAGTAGAGCTTGTGACTCTTGATCTCAGGGTCCTTAGTTCAAGCCCTGCGGGGATGGAGAGGGTAGAGAAAAGAGGGGAGATTAAAATACCTACCTTGCAGGATTGCCACCAGGATCTAAAGATAATGTAAATGTGGAAAATAAGAAAAGGTAGAGGAGGATAGGGTGGCCAGCATTGTAGTGTTAGGTGGAGTGGAGGTTACAAATGTTAAATAAAGTATTCAAGGTAAACCTCATTGTAAAGGTGACATTTGAGTAAAGATTTTTTTTTATTAAGATTTTTCTTTGACGCCTGGGTAGCTCAGCAGTTGAGCATCTACCTTTGCCTCAGGGCATGATCCCAGATTCCTGGGATTGAGTCCCACATCGGGCTCCTTGCAAGAAGCCGGGTTCTCCTCCCCCTGCCTGTGTCACTGCCTCTCTTTCTGTGTCTCTCATAAATTAAAAAAAAAAAGTGGGGGGGGGATCCCTGGGTGGCTCAGCGGTTTAGCGCCTGCCTTCAGCCCAGGGCACGATCCTGGAGTCCCGGGATCGAGTCTCACATCAGGCTCCCTGCATGGAGCCTGCTTCTCCCTCTACCTATGTCTCTGCCTCTCTCTCTCTCTCTCTCTCTCTCTCTCTCTCTCTCTGTATCTCTCATGAATAAATAAATAAAATCTTTTAAAAAAAAGTTTTCTTTAAGGAGCATTTTGGTCATTTGAAGGTCAGTGATGACAGTGATGAGGATGGCAGCAAGGAAATGAGAGAACAAGGGTAACCCATGTCCCTCAGATGTTCCCAGTCATACATTTACTGAACACCTGCAGTGTGCCAAGCCCTTTGTAGGGGGCCAAGGTCACAAGACCCTAGCACTACTCTTGTCATTGTGGTTTTTGTATTAATAGAGACCACATCTCTTGGAGCCTAGTGAAATCAGAGGACCCCATGCATTCCAGATACCATAGCATCTCACCATCTCTCAGTTCCCTGGAGAGAAGATGGACCTCTTGGATATTGCCAAAATACCACCTTGCCTTCTAGGCATGGGTAACCTGGTGGAAGACACAGACATTAATGGCTACAAATACTGTCCTTTGCAGTAGTGCTGTAGGAGCACATTTTAGGAGCCCCTCAGTCAGGTTTGAGTGTTGACAGAGATGTGCTAGAGGAAGAGACCCTTGGACCTGAATCTTTAGAACAAATAGAATTGGGTAGCCCAAGAAGGCATTTCAGCAGAGGGGATAGCTTGTGCAAAGGCACTGTGCTGTAGGACACCCTGGCATATATGAAGAACTGTAGGAAGATCCAAAAGGCTGGAGTGAAGGGATGGGGACAGGAGGTTAGTTGGTGGCAGAGCAGAGGCAAGAGAGGTGGGCAGGGGCTACATCATGAGGGGGTCTTAGCTTTACAGCTTTCTGGCTCACAGCAAGAATCTTGGATTGCTTATTTAAGCCTTCAGGAATGAAGTGTGAATAGGTAGTAGGATGTTTGCTTACCATGGGTGCTAACACAAAAAGAGAGCCCTTCCTTTTGTTTCTACATTAAAATCCATGTGAGGAGCTGCTAGTCTGTGGGCCCTACCTGGCCAGCCCCTTGTCCAGTGACCCTGACCCTTCTTAAGACCTAGACTCCCTGAAACATGAATCCCAGGTGTGTTTGTGATCACTAATAAACTGTGAGCCCAACAAGGGCAGAACTAATCTTTATTTACCTATGGATACATTCTAGCACCTATCACAGTGCTTTGGCAGATAGTGGGTTCTCTATTTGTTAACTGATATTGAATGAAGAGGAGAGTAAGGCTTATTTGGGAAGACTTGTTCCTAAATGTTTTAAAAATAGTAATAATAGCAAGCACTTAATAGAGTACCTTGTATATGTCAACTGATCCAGTTCACAAAGGAAACTAAGGCACAGAGAAATTAAATAAGTTGCCAAGGTCATGTAAGTAGGAAGTGGAGGGCTGGGATTTGAATGTAGGTGGGTAGTTCTAGCACCCATGCTCTTAACCATGCTCCAGGTTGTCTCCCAATAAATGTTTTCAGTTCATTTATAAGATTGTTTTTGTGCCAAAAAAAAAAAAAAAAAGATTGCTTTTGTGCCTTGAAAAGGAACAGTATTGCCATATAAGTAAAGCTACTGACAGGAAGGGTCATGCAGCTCCATTGCTTTTGGCAGTGAAACTTCAGAAAGCAATATATTCCCTCTGTTTTGAAAAACCAGGTGTTTCCATCCCACATAATTTCTGTCTTTTCTTTTTAGATGCTCCTTCTTATGTAGCATCCCACGCTTGCCATGTCATTAGTGCCAAACCAGCTGCCTTGGGTGGACTACAAGTTTGAACATGGTTGGACACCTGACAGCCTTAGTATTTCAGCCATTGAGCCCTCTTGTAGTCATACTGCTCTTATCTATTCACATGGAAAAAGTGGGATATTGGGCATGGCTCTTAAGTAGTTCTTCATTTATTTTGTTTATACATTTGATGGATATTTATTGAGCACTTACTCTATGCCAGTTATGGTCCTACCATCTAGCTGTGTGCTAGATGGTAGGGCTCCAGCTGTGAACACAGCAAAGTTCCTTTCCTTATGTAGCTGACATTCAAGAAAGGAGAGGTGGAAAACCAACAAGGAAGTAAACAAATATGTCCTATGTCAGATATCCATTAAGAGCTAAGGAAATTAATATGTCCTATGTCAGATATCCATTAAGAGCTAAGGAAATTAATCTAGTAAGATAAGGGGCACAAGGGGAGCTTGCTCTGGTATGTGAATTTGGATGAACAGGAAAGGCTTCACTGATGAGTGACATTTGAGATAAGACCAGAAGGAAGCAAGGGACTGATCTAGAGAGATACCTGGGGAGAAAGCATTCTAGGTGCAGGGAGCAACAAGTACAGAGGCCCTGAGGCAGGTGCATGCTTGACATACTACTGAATAGCAAGTCCAGTGTGTCAGAGAGGTGGTGGCCATCTAAGTGGGGCCTTTTAAGGGCTTTGGCTTTTAGTTTGAGTGAGTTGGAAAGCCAAAGCAGAAGAAGGAAATTATCTAACTTTTTTTTTTCTTTTTGAGAGAGAGAGAGTGCATGCACAGAGTAGGGAGAGGCAGAGAGGAAGAGAGAGAGTCCCAAGCAGACTCCCCACTGAGTGCAGAACCCTACCCTGGGCTCAATCCTACAACCCTGAGATTATGACCTGAGCCAAAATCAATAGATGCTTAATCGACTGAACTACCCAGATGTCCCATGTAATTTGTTTTGAGATAGAATTGAAAAAACTAGCCACCATAGTCTCTTCTAACATGATCTGATCTGAGAGATCATTGCTGTAGCTGTTGGGCCTCTGAAGAAAGCTGTCCTACCTGTTGGGTGGTCCATATTTGGGCACTGTCTCTATTGTGATGGTGTTTGCCAGTAGAGAAGAATATAAAGGATAGGATCAACCCTTCAGTCTCTGTACTGGAAATTCAGGTTCTTCCTCTCTGTTGATGTCAAGATTTAACCTGTTTGAAGAGCATTATTATTTTCCCCTATTCCTCCTTATTCTTGTCAAGAGCTTTGTTGCTTGAAACGAAATCGTGATTGACATTTTCATCTTTATCTCTTTATCTCTGCCACAAAGTTCTGTGGAAGGTAAATATGATTTAAAGGAACCACGGTGAGAGGCCCATCCACAGTTCATCAAGTAAGATGTGCCCAAGGTGAGAAGTCCATGGGGCAATCCACTTTAAATGTAGTGCCCAGAATTCCATAAACCTGAGCTTTAGGGTCTGATGCAAAGCCATCACCTCCGACCCCACTGAATTACCAGTCTTGCCATGATTGGTGCAGTTGCCTAAGTGCAGTTTGAGGATAGGGGGACCCCTGAGAGGAGGACTCCAGTGCATGTCCTGGAAACCATGGGGAAGCTGAGGTAGCCACCATGGTTCTCCTTCATGGCAGGTTAAGTGAGCAAGCTGAGCATGTATGAATTGGAGACTATACTGCTTTTGTTCTTAAGCTTTCTTAGTTTACAAAATAGAAGGACAGATGATTTCTTTTTGGATAAGTGAGCAGACCAACTGAAATGTTAATAAAGAATGCTCTAGGAGAAGGGATGAAGATGCAGTCAGGAAATTGAAGTCATGCTTTCATGATACATACCTCAGCTCTGGTACTTTCTCTCCTAGAATTTCCCAAAGTTGGCTTGTGGCAATCATGCCCTTTGTAATATCTTTATTTACATGGTTCTGATCTTGCTTGATACGTGCCGGTTATTTAAAGAGTGACATTTATCCATATTTCTGTTGGTTCCAAATGTTAAATTGCTTAAGCTGATTTTTAGTACTTCCAGAATAATCATCCTCCTCTTTGTAGGTCTCTCAGAAGTGGATATAAGTATTTTAGCCAGGGAAGAGGAAGCCTTCCACGGTGTTGTTTATTAGAATAGGTGTACTGACCCTGAAGGCAGGCAACATGAAGATCACATAGGATGGGTTTCGCCCTCTGGGAGGACTTAGAATGGAAATATTACACCAATTCATAAATTAGTAAAGACCTTACATCATCTATTTGCCAAGCCTTTTAGAGGTTGAAGGCAACATTAAGTGTGTCCTTGGGGTTGAAGGTGAGAGAGACTATGGGAACAACTTGTTCGGATTGGGCAGATGGAAGAGAGCAGCAATGTATCCTCCCTGCTTCGAGGGTTTGATGAGTGGTCTGCCCCAGTGGCCTGCAGGAGACCAACATTGTGAGCTGGTTATGGGAGCTTGGCCTGAACAGAGGCCTTTCTTGTCTCTAGATGATATCTGCAAGAACATAGTAAAATTCTCATGCTTTAAAAACATTTTGCATAATTGGCCATCATACATTTCATAGGAGATGGGCCTTGTGACAGAGGTATTGAGGAAGGCTCGTGAACACTCTTCTGTTTACGGGCCTCTTCCTGACTATCCTGGATGGCTGATTGCAGATGGGCTGAGTCGTGTCTGGTGCATAAGTAACTAACAGCCTGTAGTAAGCAGGAGGCAAGGCTTGTAATAACCAGCTCCTCTCCCCATCGTACCTTCAAAGTGGCACAACGATTCAAGCATTGGCCTTGCAGGGGAAACCCTTTACCAGCCAGGATTCTTCTGTCTATCCCAATTGTGGAATTGATGCCCCACAGCCAGGGCCAGACTCACTGAGAGCTGAGGCCCAAGCATGTCCTGCTCAGCATAATGTGGGAGATCAGAGGTGGCAAAGCTGGACACCAGCATGGTTCTAGGCCAGGAAGCCTTGGTCCACCAAACTGGAAACCTAGAACCCAAACTAAACCTGGGAAGAGGCAGGCAAAAGGTTTGGGAACATCTGCACATTATGTGACCCCAGGCTGGTTTTTGTGCTTTAGTTACCAGACTGAATAAGCTAAACCTCATGTGTCAAGAGGGACTCAGGCCTAGCTCTAACTTGTCTCTCTGATTTCAGCTCTTACCTTGTAAATACTAAGCCTGCAAGTGGAGGTAGCTATTATATTGTTACCTGTTTGGAGATCGCCCAAGGAATTCCTCCTAGGATTGAATTGCTTTTACCGTTAATGCCAGAGGCATAGAAGCCACCAGTGCCCTTGGGTCAGGGTGTCCTAGGTCAAAAAGGAGAAGCAGCTTGCTGGATTTTATTGAGAAACAGCCCCCAAAGAGTTGAGCGTTTCTGGGATTTCCCTTCACTTGCAAGATGCAAGATTGTCTAATAGATGTACAACTTGATTAAGTGCCAGTACATCACAGATGCAATTATATTTAAGAACAAGCTACTTCTTCTAATCTCTCTGCCATCACTGATTAATTAGACTCTTTGAACTATGCCCAACTGTTTGAAAGCTGTGAAAAATACAACCTGCATAGTTAAAATTTCTGCACAAGCCTATTTCCTCGTTTGTGCCTGTATTCTTTTTTAAACCTTTTTAAAAACCATTCTTTAAACATAATATGTATTTATACATGTTTCCAAACACACAATCTGGCTATTTTCTTATCATGGTTCGAAATCTTTCCATGATTGGCCAAGAAATACACTCACACACTAAATGAAATGACAAAGTATGTGAGAGACCAGTTGAATAACACCTTCAGGTTGTCGATGCCGTTGGTTACACGTTCAAGATTTTTTTGTTTTTAATTTTTAAATCTTGCATGAATGCCTCAGAGAGATTTTTTGCTTTTTTGTGGTATCTCTCTACTGAGGTTTTAAAATATTTTTGCACTTACCAGGAGTAGGGCAGGGGCAGAGTGGTAACAGGGTATGGAAACGTTCTTATACATAATTATTAGCTATATATCTGGCACAATGCTGTGCAAGTAATTTCTAGTCTTTTTTTATCATAGAGCTGTCTTTTAAAGTAAATAAGCACTGAAAGACCTATTCCATACATGAAGAAGCCCAGGGAGACTCTGAAATTGGCCCCGGTGACTGACATGGTCGGGTATGCTAGATTTGCAGGACTGGGACATCTGGGCATGCTGAAGATCAGTCTTTTTATGTATCTCTCTATCCCTGAGTTATAACTTTCATCAGTGGCTCGTTGATGTTCATGTCGGGCTCAAGGCCTGCTCAGCTAAATCTCCACGGTCCTCACTCCCTAGAAGCCACTTATGTTTTGGGCCATCTTTCCTTTCCTTCCTTCTATTTAGTGTCCCCAAAGTAACATTTCTACCCATTTTTCAAGAAATATTTGAATTCGACCATACCTTTAATTATATACACACATCCCTTCTGACTCCCTAATCTTCCTCCTGAATTCTAAACCCAATTTTGCCCTTTTCCAGAAAAGCCAAACTAAATCAAGATCACCAGTGCTAGATCTCTCCCTCTTTATTGAGAATGAGGAAACTATCCACCCCTCTCTAAGCCCGATTGTTCACAATGAACCTGTAGAAAGTGGAACACAGTTGAAAAGCTTTCAGTAATTGTGCAACCCTGATTTTTATTGACTTTTTCTCTTACCCTCCTAGGTAACAGATTGCCTGATTGCGGTGGCTAAAACAGACTCTGAAGTTCAAGTGCGCAGAGCTGCCATCCATGTGATTGTGCTGCTGCTTCGGGGCCTCAGCCAGAAAGCTACTGAGGTCAGTCTGTTTCTGATCATTTGCAGCTTCCCTGCTTTTTTGGTTTTTATCTGTTTATCAGTCTTCCTTTCACCAAGGCAGCCTCAGATCTTTTCCCTGGATGGACTCATGCAGATGAATCCATCCACAGAGGTTTTATTTTGTTGCAAGAATACTGTTTGCGACTTTAGTAAGAGTCCTATTTCCTCTGTAATAGGCAAACTACACTCTAACTGCTGTAGGAAAACCAGAGCACAAGTTTATAGGTTTGAGACTCTGAGTCCTGGCATTCTTCTCAGAGGGGCAGGTTCCAGGTGAGCTAACTAGAATACACTAAGACTGCCTCTGTAGCCTGAACTTTAGTGACTTGTCTTCCTGACTCATTTCGTTATTCATGCCGAATTACTAAAGGACCTCATTTGAAACATGTTTCCTTTCTAGCTGTAAATTCAATCCATGAGATTTTAGTTGATGCATAAATTAAACTTTTTTCTTCTTCCAAGTGAGTCTGGCTGCGTTTCTCCCCAGTGTATGGCTAATACGAGAAGAAAGTATACATATCCATATGTGTGCTAAGAACGAGTGACCTCTAAATTAATTTTCCTCTTGATTTTAATGGAATCACATTCCCAGTTGAGTTTATAGAGAGAGCTTACATTAATAATTCACTCCCTGGCATCCATAATGCTCATGGCACATCAGTATTTAACTATGTGTCAGTGAAGCTATTAGAAGAATGTTTGTTTTGTCAGACCTACAGGCTTTTATTCATGATAGAATTTTGTCATATCAAGTTCCTGACACCATTTTTGTACAAGCATAGACTCATTAGTTATCACCTAGTTAGTGGTGGGGACACACAGATCCACAACTCAATAATGCAGATTAATTAAATAAATTGCTGTCAGGTACACACTGCCCTTGATGAGAATCTGCTCTGCAAGAAAGTGTTTTTCTTCCATCCTCAAGATCTACACAACTCTTGGGGCACCTGGGTGACTCAGTTGGTTAAATGTCTGACTCTTGATATCAGCTCAGGTCTTGATCTCAAGGTCTTGATCTCAGGATTGTTAGTTCAACCCTGCATTGGGCTCCATTCTGGGTGTAGAGACTACTTAAAAAAAGAAAAAAATCTACAAAACTCTTGACAAATAAAATTGTTATGAAAATTGTTAACAATAGAGGAAACTAGATGAGGAGCATACAGGAATTCTCTGTGCTGTCTTTGCAACTTATCTGTAAATCTAAAACTATTTCAAAATAAAATTTTAGTTTAAAATATGAGTTATGGGCACCCCCGGTGGCGCAGCGGTTTAGCGCTGCCTGCAGCCTGGGGTCTGATCCTGGAGACCCGGGATCGAGTGCCGCGTCGGGCTCCCTGCATGGAGCCCGCTTCTCCCTCTACCTGTGTCTCTGCCTCTCAGTCTCTCTCTCTCTCTCTCTCTGAATAAATAAATTAAAAAAAAACATAAAATATGAGTTATAACACTATTAAAGTAAATCTATAAAACCCTGTAAGTGAGCTGTGGCAATCAGCACATCCTGGTGCTCCTCACTCCTCACTATTTCTTGTGGCTAGCACAGCCCTCATGGGCTATAGGCTGTGCCTGGGTGATGGCTGGTCCTGCCCTGCTCTGGGCACTGCAGCACCGGGTGCTCCACACTGCTGTGCCAGGCAGCATGGGGTAAGACGTGGCCATCGTACACCAAGATCACAGGATGAGGGAGTAATGGGTTCAGGTGGCACTACTGGCTGTGCCCCTGCTTGCAGTCTAACTGCATATCTCCCTCTCCCCAGCTTTCTCTTCTTTTCACTCATGGAAGTTCTCAGGCAAATTTTTCACCTATAAGTGACTGCACGTCTTCTACCAAGGCTCAGTGTGTGTGGTTGGAAGTCCTGAGATGTGCTTTTACAGGGGTTTTCAACTTCCAGTTGTGAGTGGTACAAGATTTGGGAAGGTCTGGGCCTGATGTTTTATTCAGTGATAGCCCTTGACTTCTTGGGCTTTACCTTCTGTTCCATATTTTGAGCAGGCCAGCATTGTGGAGGCACTTTTGCAGCATCTGGAGCTCCAGAACCATAAGATCCACCTTTTGTCTCATGATTACAGAGATATTGCTCAGGAGGTGCTTTAAATAGGTTCCAGCAGAACTGATCTGGTCAGCTTACCATAAAAAGTCTCTATGTGTCAAATGGAGGTATTTTTCCTAAGACTTACCATCCTCTCCTTCTCCAAAAGCTTCTCAAAAATGGAGGCATCTGTCACCCATCCTTACACAATTGATGAATTTTTTGTATTCTCCTGAGATCTCATCCTAGTCTTTGGGCTGTATACACAATGCTCTGAGAGTGAAGTTGTGGGACATGTGGGCAGGGATACCCAACAATGATGGAACTTAGTTACCATTAGTCTCTTACACTACATCAACCAGATAAAGAAATTTAGAAGACACTGGGTGGGAGCTCTTGCTTCTATAACTATTACTATTCATTTTATCGGTGGGCCATTGGATCCCATGAATCTTTCTGCAGAGTTTTTGGAGCTATATAGGGAAACATTCTGGGCAGCCCAGGTGGCTCAGCGGTTTAACGCCGCCTTCAGCCCAGGGCGTGGTCCTGGAGACCCGGGACCGAGTCGCACGTCAGGCTCCCTGAGTGGAGCCTGCTTCTCCTTCTGCCTGTGTCTTTGCCTCTCTCTCTGTGTCTCTCATGAATAAATAAATAAAATCTTTAAAAAAAAAAAAAAGAAAAGGAAAACATTCCGATTCTGGATGACCACATTAGCCACTATCCATAGCTAGAGGATCCCATGAGCTTTATGAATACATATATGGGCTTCATCAGTTCCTTCTGAGCTGGAAAGAGTAGTTTCCCTCTGTTACCTCCCCTACTCCCTTAGCTGTTGTGTATTCCACTTAGGAAGAAATGCCCCAAAGAGGTCCTGGCCACCAAACATTATTCCCTCACAAAAGTCCACCTGACTCACATCAGTAGTCAGCATGTAGTTAAAAGCCCGCAGAAGCTCTGGCTAAGGACGACCTAACAGTCCACCTCCCATTCTTCTGAGTGAGTGTATGGACTTGCCTCTGATTTTGTGCTATTTGGAAACTCTGATGAGCTCTACATACTTTAATACTTCTATGGACTCTTCTGAATTATTTAGAAATATTAATTTCTGACCCATCCCTGATAGGAATGCTATGGTGAAGAATGAGGAGAGGGTGTCTCCTTACCTGTCCTTGAATGGCTTTAAGGGTACATGCTGTTTAAAGTTCTCTAAGCAGCACAGTTTCAAGTGAGAGTGAGTCTCCCTTATCATAACTTTGGATTTCGTCTCATCAGCTGCTTTTAATTATAGACATTTTGTTAAAATAGGTTTGGGTTTGAATAATGCAGTATTTCTAAGTATACTTTAAGACTATGATTTATCTACACGTTTTATTTATTTATTTATTTATTTATTTATTTATTTATTTATTTATTTAGATACTAAACCAGCAGATACTCTGCCAGAGTAGTGAACCTTTTAAAAATGTTTAATTTCTGAATAAATTGAATTAAATCCGAACTATTTACAGATTTTCCTAAAATCACAAGGATATTAAAGACCAGTGACGTTGGTGCCAGGGATTTACTGTTAATTATTAGCTAATTCTTTTTTTTTTAGTTTTTTTTTATTTATGATAGTCAGACAGAGAGAGAGAGAGAGAGGCAGAGACACAGGCAGAGGGAGAAGCAGGCTCCATGCACTGGGAGCCTGATGTGGGATTCGATCCCGGATCTCCAGGATCACGCCCTGGGCCAAAGGCAGTCGCTAAACCGCTGCGCCACCCAGGGATCCCATCATTAGCTAATTCTAACAGCAAATAACAATCTGACTCTTCATACCTCAGTGATTAGAATCATGTCCCTCCTTTTTTTAAATTTAATTTAATTTTTATTTTTTTAAAGAAGCATGTCCCTCCTGAGGTGGAGAGGAGGGGATCGTTGTATAGTCCAAGTTACCATGCTAAATATACATTGATTCCTTTTATGACAATTGTTTAACTTCTCATTGGTTGTCCCAGAGAGGCTTCCTCTTGTAGCGTAGTAATTCCTGTACTTTACAGATAGGAAAGTTCCAGAAACTTTAAGAACAAATACTGAAAGGCCTATGAGCAAACGGTGCTGAATATTTTTTTCTTCCTTTTTTTTTTCTTTTCTTTTAAAATGAGAGGTTTTTTTTTTTAATGCTGGGAGTTCAATGAGGGGCTTGAACTCACAACCTTGAGATCAAGACCTGAGCTGAGATCAAGAGTTGGACACTTAACCAACTGGGCTACACAGGCACCCTGCTGAATTTTTTTTTAAGCCAGTTTCAATTGTCTTAGTCAAAACAGGATAATTAAGTGATTATTTTAATTTTTTTATTAGCAACTTCAGGTATAACAGTTGAAACTGGAATAAGTGTTTATTTTCTCTAAATAAAAATAGATTTTGGGACACCTGGGTGGCCCAGCAGTTGAGTGTCTGCCTTCGGCTCAGGGCATGATCCCTGGGCTCTGGGGTCGAGTCCCACATCAGGCTCCCTGCATTGGAGGCTGCTTCTCCCTCTGCCTATGTCTCTGCCTCTGTGTGTCTCTCATGAATAAATAAGTAGAATCTTTAAAAAAGAAATTAATTTTGAAAAAAAGTGGCAAAAACCCTTTCTAAGTGCACACACTTACAGAGTGAGTGAGAGTGAGTGTGAGAGAGTGTGTTTATGTGTGTGTGAGAAGCACAGCAAAATACCTGGTTAGTAAAGTGAGAGAAGAAATAGAAACTCTACCCAGATTTCTCACATCTGTGTGTAGCCAATGAAAGCAACACTCTTGGTCTCACCAGTGCTAAAATAATTTGTGGCCATGGAAGATTATTGTCACTTTCAAAAAGCCATGTGAATGGAAAACCTCTCCTGTTCTCCAAACCAGCTCTATCCTGCACTCACGGAAATTTATAAATTGTGCTTACTCAGTGAATAAAGAAAAGGAAATGGGATGGG